CACATCAAAAAGCTTATCCACCATGATCAAGTAGGTTTCATCCCGGGGATGCAAGGCTGGTTCAACATACGCAAGTCTATAAATGTAATTCACCACATAAACAGAACCAAAGACAAAAACCACATGATTATCTCAATTGATGCAGAGAAGGCCTTTGACAAAATTCAACAGCCCTTTATGCTAAAAACCCTCAATAAGCTAGGTATTGATGGAACGTATCTCAAAATAATAAAAGCTATTTATGACAAACCAACAACCAATACTGAATGGGCAAAAACTGGAAGCATTCCCCTTGAAATGTGGCACCAGACAAGGATGCCCGCTCTCACCACTGCTATTCAATATAGCATTAGAAGTTCTAGCCAGAGCAATCAGGCAAGAAAAAGAAATAAAGGGCATTCAAATAGGAAAGGAGGAAGTCAAATTGTCTCTATTTGCAGACGACATGATTGTATATCTAGAAGACCCCATCGTCTCAGCCCCAAATCTCCTGAAACTGATAAGCAAGTTCAGCAAAATCTCAGGATACAAAATCAATGTGCAAAAATCACATGCATTCCTATACACCAATAACAGACTTAAAGAGAGCCAAATCAAGAACAAACTTCCATTCACAATTGCCACAAAGAGAATAAAATACCTAGGAATACAACTAACAAGGAACGTAAAGGACCTCTTCAAGGAGAACTACAAGCCACTGCTCAACAAAATAAGAGAGGACACAAACAGATGGAGAAACATTCCATGTTCATGGTTAGGAAGAATCAATATCGTGCAAATGGTCATACTGCCCAAAGTAATTTACAGATTCAATGCTATCCCCATCAAGCTACCAATGACCTTCTTCACCGAACTGGAAAAAATCACCTTAAACTTCATATGGAACCAAAAGAGAGGCAGCATAGCCAAGTCAATTCTAAGCAAAAAGAACAAAGCGGGAGGCATCACACTACTGGACTTCAAACTATACTACAAGGCTACAGTAATCAAAACAGCATGGTACTGGTACCAAAACAGAGATATTGACCAATGGAACAGAACAGAGGTCTCGAAGGCAACACAACATATCTACAACCATCTGATCTTTGACAAACCAGACAAAAACAAGCAATGGGGAAAGGATTCCCTGTTCAATAAATGGTGTTGGGAAAGCTGGCTAGCCATGTGCAGGACCCCTTCCTGACACCTTACACTAAAATTAACTCCAGATGGATTAAAGACTTAAACATAAGACCTAACACCATAAAAACCCTAGAAGAAAATCTAGGCAAAACCATTCAGGACATAGGTGTAGGCAAGGACTTCATGACCAAAACACCAAAAGCATTGACAACAAAAGTCAAAATAGACAAATGGGACCTAATCAAACTCCACAGCTTCTGCACAGCAAAAGAAACAGTCATTAGAGTGAATCGGCAACCAACAGAACAGGAAAAAATTTTTGCTGTTTACCCATCTGACAAAGGGCTGATATCCAGAATTTACAAAGAACTAAAACAGATTTACAAGAAAAAAACTAACAAGCCCATTCAAAAGTGGGCAAAGGATATGAACAGACACTTTACAAAAGAAGACATACATGAGGCCAACAAACATATGAAAAAATGCTCATCATCACTGGTCATCAGAGAAATGCAAATCAAAACAACATTGAGATACCATCTCACGCCAGTTAGAATGGCGATCATTAAAAAATCTGGAGACAACAGATGCTGGAGAGGATGTGGAGAAATAGGAACACTTTTGCACTGTTGGTGGGAGTGTAAATTAGTTCAACCATTGTGGAAGACAGTGTGGCGAATCCTCAAGGACCTAGAAATAGAAATTCCATTTGACCCAGCAATCCCATTACTGGGTATATATCCAAAGGATTACAAATCGTTCTACTATAAGGACACGTGCACACGAATGTTCATTGCAGCACTGTTTACAATAGCAAAGACCTGGAACCAACCCAAATGCCCATTGACGATAGACTGGATAGGGAAAATGTGGCACATATACACCATGGAATATTATGCAGCCATCAAAAACGATGAGTTTGGGTCCTTTGTAGGGACATGGATGAACCTGGAAACCATCATTCTCAGCAAACTGACAGAAGAGCAGAAGATCAAACACTGCATGTTCTCACTCATAGGCGGGTGTTGAACAATGAGAACACATGGACACAGGGAGGGGAGCCCTACACACTGGGGTCAGTTGGGGGGAAATAGGGGAGGGGCGGTGGGGGGTGGGGAGCTGGGGAGAGATAGCAAGGGGAGAGATGCCAGATGTAGGTGATGGGGAGGAAGGCAGCAAATCACACTGCCACGTGTGTACCTATGCAACAATCTTGCATGTTCTTCACATGTACCCCAAAACCTAAAATGCAATAAAATACATAAATGGGGAGAGGAAAAAAAAAAGAACTGGAAAATAGCGGGAAAGTCAGTGGACTAGAACAGATAGGAGATAATAGTCAGGAATGGGCTTAATGCATGATTTCTCAGGTGTAGTTATTTTGGATATCACGGTTCATCTCAGACTTTCAAGGCAGTTTACATTCTTAAGTACCCCCCAAAGACCTCCTTCACTCACAAGGTGAATAGTAAAAACTAAAATTTACTAAGAATTTTGTATGTTCTTATCACTATGTCAAGCATTGTACATGCATTGTCCCCATTTAACCCTGCCAATATCAATTATTATCATTCCGAACACTGTCCTAATAATGTCAGTGAGATATCTGAGGTGGCTGCGGGTGAAGAAATTTAAAGGGAAATGGTCTGTAAATGGCACTAAAGAGCAAGGTGAATGGGCAGCTTCTTGCCGAGAAAGGAAGTAATGTCTTGGGCAAAAAGCCAGTTTGCGAATAAACTAGATCACAGCATTTAGAAGGGTGGAGAATGGAGACGTGATTGTGCTTCACGGGTTGGGAGTTCTGGAGGGCACAGTTGGAGGATTTTACAAGAAGGGGAAGAGTAAGAGTTTGGAAGAGTGAACAAGAAACCCAGATGAACATTAGGGTAAGAGAATTCTGAAAGGGTATATAGGCTAGATAATTGGGGCCGGGGGTTACATTACAGGTAGTATAACAAGGAAAATGATTATGAGGCCAGACGGATTAAGATTCTGAAAGAAACCTCAAACATAACCATCTAGGCCATATTTTAGCTCATCACTCACTGTCTCTATAGGCACAGGTAAGTAGCTTAAGTTTTTAGCTGTAATAATAATAGCAAACATTTATTGACTGCTTGCTGTATGCCAGACACATTTATATAATCCTTACGACAACAGTATGAGGTAAATGTACTATATGTTATCTCCATTGTACAGTGAAACCTTACATAGTTATTTGGTAGAGCTTGAATCTGAACCTTGCCAGCTGTCTCTGGAGCCCTCCAGATCATTTTATCATTCTCACTGCTTGGGCAGGGCTGCCATTTCTCTTCCTCTAATTGTCTTTACCATGTTGCACACTTTCTATAGCAGAAAAAGTTCTCTCCACAATCCTTCCAGAGAAATTTAAATGTTAACGTATGATAACATTATGACAAAGTCAGTACACTCAAAGCGAATCTTTAACACTATACTCTATAAGTGGATTTTGAAATAAGGATAGTTCATCTCAGACTTTATCCAAGAGAGCTTACATTCTTAAGTATCCCAAAGGCCTCCTTTACTTAGAAGGTAGTCTTAAGGCCTATATCTAAAAGACAGTATTTTAGGACAGATCCAGCGTGTTTAAGAAATCATCTGTCACACAATAAATTTGATCTGCCCTCAGAGAGGAAACTAACTTTTGATATTTCTCCCCAAGGACAAAAAAATAAGTTACTGTCAAGCTTAATTTAAATTCCATAACAGAAAATGTATTGGATTTTTAAAATTAGCTCCATACATTTTTCTATCTGTATATAGAAAAGAAACAAGCAAAGTAGCTTTCATAGATACAAAATAAGTAGGAATCCCATTATAGAAATTCTCCTTTTCTGTTAAGTTTCAAAGTATCAAAGCATAATATTTATGTATAGAATCCAAGAAGAAATAAAAAATAAATAATCTAGAAAAAAACCCACAGTTGGATTCTAACTATCTGAATACTGATTTAGCAATCACACTTTTATTTTGGTGGTGAAATTTCTAAGGGACCTAAAAGTTTAAAAGGCTTAAGTAGAAAAGATGGGGTCTTACATTTAACAAAGCTCCTTTATTTACTCCTACAGGTAACTGTAATGGGAAGGCTTACATTTGAAGTGCTCATGTATTAATGACTTTAGACCTCTTCATTAAGGACTTTGTAACTTTTTACTAAATGCCATCTTCTTCAAAAACAAAATAATCTATATTGGCTAAATATATTTTTCTAAAATTTTTTTAGGCCTAATACTATGTCTACTGTTATAAATCTGGGTTTGTTTCATTGCATTGTTGCACGAGTTCTTCAATCAAATCCCTAAACAGAACCACCTATTTTCCTCATCTGTGTTTAACTGGATACTTAAATTATTTTAGTGTGCAATTAAATCATTTGTAATGTTCAAAAAGTATTTTAGGATGATATTCTTACCCTCTTTTTAAAAAGTACAAGTTCAGAGCTTCTTTTAAAGACTTGAATTTCTTACATCAAGATCTTTTCCAATAGACTCCTTTATCTTTAAAATACAGACCAGGATATATAGTGCAGGAAAAATAGTATTTTTAATCACCTCTGTTCCTTTCGTACTGTCAAAATCTTTAATACCATATTCCCTCGGAAAATATCTGGGTATTTTTATAAAATAAGTTCTCAAGCTCTGGTAAAAGTGTCCTTAGCCTATACTATAAAATGAATAAATGATCCAGCCTTTAACTGATTTTCCAGGAATTTACTTTTCTAACATTAGACGTTAAAAGCACATAAAAAGAAAAAAAAAAAAAAAAAAAAAAAACTCCGATGAAACACAGGGTGATGATAAAAATCATTAATCCTGATCATATATGCCAGATCTCTTGGTATATGACATACTCATTACCTGTCCTGAATAATACATCTTGTCTTCTCTCCATCTTCTACTCCAAAGTCAGGCTGAAATTATCCTAGGAGATCCATGGGTTTGAAAGGCTCCAGAAAGGCCAGGTGGGGCTGAGCCTGAGATACGAGAATTATTAGTGTGATCCTGGTATTATGAACCACAAGTGACCCAATGTTATCCCAAATCCCCAGAGGACCACCCAACTGAGAGGTCTCTCTTTTGAGTCATATCACCTCCCCTTCTCTTTTTCTCTCTTTCTTTCCCTACAACTCTTTCCTATATTGTACACATATATCTTTCTCTTTCTCTCTGTCTCTCTATAGAGCTCTGTATCTACAGTATCTCTATATATATGGATGCATTTTGTTTTTTTATCAGACTATCCTCAAAAAAAGATATTTATCATCATAGAATATTCCTTTATTTATATTAATCAAAAACATCATAGAATAGTTCTTTAATCAAAATAAGCACAAATAAACGAAGAGCTTTGAATAATAATTTCATGACTTTTTAAAAAAAATAATTTAACATGGGAAATAAAGTGAGAAATCCTGGGTTTGAGTCCTTAGTTCTGCTACTTACTAGATATGAGGCTTTAGCAAGTCTCCTAAGCTCTCACAGATTGTTTATTTATAAAATGCGCAGGATAACCACAATCCACCAACCAACAGAATTATTTCTAGAGTCAAGTTCGTTAATGAACACATAAATTACTCTATAAATTCTAAATTCTTGATGTCACACACTCATAATATCAACAATACAATTGGGTAAAGTTTGTATTCAGCACGACGCCACGACTGGAAAAGGTGGGTAGTTTGTTTCCTCACACTCCCTTTGCATTCCTTGTTCCTCCAGACACAGTGAAACTCGGTTTCTGCAGAATTTGATTCCATTTGAGTTACTTGGGAACAAAGCAATTAGACAGTGAATAATAGCTCAAGACAGGCCAAAGCTGAAGATTTCCACAAAAAAAATGAAGAGGAAACGTTTTGATCCTGAGCAGGTGTTCTCCCTAGACAGCTTGGCCTGAGACTGGCTGACTTTTGGAAGTGAGACTTGTTCTCAGGTGGGAAGTCCTGGGGCCAAAGGTGTCCCAGGATTTTGAGGGTCACATGGAATGGGAGGGGGTTAGGGAGATTTCGCTAGCATTTATGGGACCTGGGGGAATCTCACGTTAAAGAAGGTGGTTACCACACGCAAGCAAGCCCTCTTCCTCATGCAGGGGCTGGACAGCTCCCGTCTGAGCATCCAAGTCTTGGGGAAGCTGCACATGGCGGAGGGGCACCCGGAAGCCTCCGGGAGAGCAGCTGGGGGAGCGGCCGCAGGGCATGCCGGGAGAGGCGCAGGGCACGCTGGGAAGGCGCAGGGCACGCTGGGAAGGCAGCCCAGGAAAGGTGGGGCCCTGGGGCCTGTCGAGAAGCTAAGTGGCCAAGGAGCGGTGTGTTTAATTGTCTCACAAGTGCCTTGCGCTTGTGGTGTCCGTTCCGTAACCGTTCTCACAAGACAAGACAGCCTGAGTTCCTTACCGCCAGCACCTCTTCCCGCCTGAGAGCGGTGTCTCCCGCGGGGTTTCCCCAGTGCCTCACCTTGCTCCTGCTGGGGGAAGGGGACCGTTTCCCGTGGCCTCTGCGCACCGTTCTGGGTGTTAAGATTCCCCCACCCCGCCCCCCGGACTGACTTCCTCATCCTAGCCTTTTACTTCGTTTCTGCCTGGCCTCTAATTTTACAGTACTGTGGGGAGAAATGTCTCTGAAGGTTTACTTCAGCCTGAAATGCGTAAGACAAGCTTTCAAACGTTTCCAAAATCATATTTTAAATACATGTACGTTTTTCCCGTCTTAGACAATTCATCTTACGCTTCAATTAATGTGGGACAGGGCCCCAGCTCCATGTGAGTGGATTGTTGATGACATCCTATTAAATAGAATTTTTTTTTTTTTTTTAATAGAGACGGGGTTTCACCATGTTGGCCAGGCTGGTCTTGAACTCCTGACCTCAAGCAATCCACCCACCTCGGCCTCCCAAAGTGCTGGGATTACAGGCGGGAGCCACCACGCCCGGCCATATTAAATAGAATTCTATCTCACCTGACTGCCACATGCAAACAAACTGGAGCATAGCTTCTGTGTGATTTTGTACACAGCAAGAGATTTACACTTTTTTTTTTTTCTTTTTGGTGTGGCTGTGGCTGAGATTTTACGATGCTCTGGATGGCTTCTTGGTCTGATTTCACAAAGGGCTTTTCCTAAATGATAAATGGAAGAATGTCCAAACCCCCAGGTGAAATTATCATTACTGTATGTTTCGCATGTAACCTAGTCTAGTTCAAAAGTTATGGCCGTTGGGCCGGGCGCGGTGGCTCACGCCTGTAATCCCGGCACTTTGGGAGGCCGAGGCGCATGGATCACGAGATCGGGAGATCGAGACCGTCCTGGCTAACACGGTGAAACCCTGAATCTACTAATAATAAAAAAAATTGGCTGGGCGTGGTGGCGGGCGCCTGTAGTCCCAGCTACTTGGGAAGCTGAGGCAGGAGAATCGCTTGAATCCAGAAGGCAGAGGCTGCAGTGAGCCGATATCTTGCCACCGTACTCCAGCCTAGGCGACAGAGCGAGACTGTGTCTCAAAAAAAAAAAGGTACAGCCGTTGGACCCATCTATGTAGGTTGACTATTGCAGTCCAGTTAGATGGCTTCCAAATTCTGCTGTTTTCTAAAGACCTGTTCATGCGTGTCATAAAGACATGTTCATAAAATACTCTGTTCATGTATTTCAATATATATTTGTCAAATTTTCTTGCTCTCCCTCTCCGCTTAGTACTTTGTGAGTTTCTTGTTGGAAGGACTATCTTTAAATTAAAGCAATTAGAGTTACTTTATGAGATTTACCCAAATATGAAGAGAATATTCAAGTTGACCAGAAGAAAATATTCAATTACTGAAAAATATTAATTACATCAATAGGTAAGTTAGAATTATATCTAATATTCAGTATAATACAGAACCCTGTTATAACCATAATTATCACCTTTTAAAAATTCATCAGTCACGTCAATTTAAGACAAACATTCTTTAAATGAAATTAAAACTCTTACTTTGGGCTCACTATTTCATAGATACAGACATCTATGTATAGATTACTTCAATGTTAAGTTTTGCTGCAAATTATAAAATTTTCTTTTTTTGACCTATGTATTATGTTTCTTCTTTGCAGTAGAACTTACTTCTACACTTGTTAGTGATTTCTTCCTAACACACAATGGAAATTATATAATTTTTTTAAAAGTTTCAAATAACACAAAAACGTGTACTATAAACCATAATCACCTTCCACAATAATTTCTACTTCTCTCTCTCCCCCCGGAAATAACTACCTTTGGCTGCTTGGTGCTTTATCCTCCATATTCTTTTCTGTACATATACTAACCTATATTATTACTTTTAGAATAAAATTATATTTTAAAAATTACTCTGCCATTTCATTTTTTCAGTAAATCAATCTTAGATATCTGTGACTGATAGATATCTAAGATATCTAATATCTGTATACTTAAATCTTTTTAAAAGCCTATATGGTATTCTATTGTATGGATGTACCATAATATATTTGACCCAACCCCTGCTGATGAATATGTGGGTTGTGCCTACTCTTTCCTTACATGAGCTTCTTGAAGTGTGTCTGTGTGTCTGTGTGTGTGTGCTTGTGTGTGTGTGTGTGTGTGTGTGTGTTTCCTTTACATTGTTCCTCCCACCCTCTGGCAAAAGAAAAAAAAATTGGTGTTTTCTGGACCCAGGGCCACTTTCTTGCTTTTTCTTTTTCCTTCAGTCTGTTTTCTGTTTTCCAACTTTTAGGTCTTTGTCTTTCCTTTGGAATGTCTCTTTTTATTCTCCTGTTTTTTCCTGTTAAGGACAAAGGTCCTCTTCACACAGTATCTCTGCCCTCTGGTACCAACGTGTTCTTCCGATACTTTCCAACCCCAGCGGTGAAGAGAAAGAAGGACAGAGTATTTGGTTTTTGATGAGAAACAAGAGGCTGCTGCTGGCAGGGAGCCTCGTCAAGCTCTGCCTCATTCTGAGCACTCCACTCCCACGTGAACAACAATGAATGGAGATTTCACCCGCCCACCCCACATTGTTCAAGTTGTCCTTTGCCCTTTTTGTCAAAACTTGGCACCCAGGAGACAGCAGAACATGTTCTGAATTCAACCCTGGGGGAGCCACCGATCAACATCACTTCTCTTCTTACTCATTAGTTGTTCTCTTTCTGTGCCTGATGTCGCGTGATGCCTAAGCTATTCTTTGTCATGGCCCCTTCTCAGTTGCCCAGCTAACCCCTATAGGGCGGGATGGCCATCTACACCCCCTAGGCAGAGCACCATGGACAGAGGAGAAGAGCATGGACAAAGTACTGAAGCTGAGTCCTGGGATGTGGGTTCTCTTATTGCCTCAGCTGTAGGCTCAAGGGATGTGGATAATTTAGGATATTTTACCTCTTTATGATCTGAGTTGCCACATACCAAGAATATTAACTATCTGCTTAACTCACAAAATACTATAAGAATGTGGTAATTTGTAAAGCACTTTGAAAATAAGATTCCAAAGAAACAGAGTATATTATTTACATGTCTTTTCTCCCTTTTTAGTATATATATTTTATCCGACTTCCTTTTTTTTAATATTTGCAACTTATTTCTGGGTTTTCCTGGCATACCTACTTATTATTCTCTATGAATTAGTTCTTATTTATGAAGCACAGACAATATATTCATAATTATTTCTAATGAGAAAGTTTTTTCAGGAGAATATTTTTAGGGGATATGTTCAGAGAGGAAGACATGGCTGTTGTCATTTTTTATCCTAATCTTTAATAATATTGCTTAAATTTCTTTTATATCTGAAACATTTATTGGAATGTTTTTATAATTATCGAAGCCTTAATTCTAAGTAGTAACAATCAAATAAGCATAGAAACTTTATAAGAAGTCTAAATTTCTGTCTGATAGTAAGAAAATTAGATACTTAGATGTCAGTGTATTAAAGATTTCATGCTAAGTGCCAATTACCTCTAATAATCAAATAGTGGATTGTGGGAGGGTCAGGACAGATATGAACACGACACAAACTTCTCAGGATAAAGGTGTTTCAATGTTTTTCAGGCTTAAAAATAAGAAACATTTTGGGAGTTTAAATGGGACGACATTTCAGAAAATTGCAGATTTTATCTCCTGTTATAGTTTATAATAAAAGAAAAGGCTGCAGAATTCTCTTTTAACTGTCATTTCTTAAAAGACTTGAAAGTCTTTTTAACTACCTTTTAAATATTCTTTTGCAATTAAAAAAAAAAAAATGAGCACTGGCCTTCGTGTGAGGGTTCCTTTCTCCCTCGGTTGAAAACAGCCCATTTTTAAGCACACGTTAACTACCACTTTTTTTCTAATTTACTTTTTCCTTCTACAATGCAATTGAATACCATACTAATGCATTCTAAAACTAAATTTATTGTTTTGGTGCTTGATTTTTTTTTTTTTTTTTTGAGATGGAGTCTTGCTCTGTCGCCCAGGCTGGGGTGCAGTGGTGCAATCTCAGCTCCACCTCCTGGGTTCAAGCGATTCTCCTGCCTCAGCCTCCTGAGTAGCCGGGATTACAGGTGGACGCCACCGTGCCCCGCTAATTTTTGTATTTGTAGTAGAGACAGCATTTCGCCATGTTGGTCAGGCTGGTCTTGAACGCCTGACCTCGTGATCTGCCCGCCTCGGCCTCCCAAAGTGCTGGTATTACAGGCGTGAGCCACCGCGCCTGGCCTTGCTGCTTGATTTTTAAAGAAGAGGAAAAACACAGATTTGTCTTTTATTATTAAGCGCATAACTTCTAATAGGTTATACACAGTTTTTAAAGTCATCTCAGTCTGACTAGTCAAGATCACCTGGATTTTCAAATGCAACATTTAACTGTAAAAAGGAAGACCCAAAGATTCAGAATTCAGTAGAATTATACAACAGTGGACACCATATTGCTGATTAAAGCAGTTATAACTTAACTGAGCATTTGATGTTTGCTGTGCCAAATGACATCCACGCAGGACATCAGGTAGAAGGAAGGGCCTTAGTAGAATGTGTGACTACAAATATGAGACTGCCAAAGTCCCAAACTCACAGCTTCAGTAAGCTAAAGGAATTTCTTATCTGCCAAGTCGGAACATAAGAGTATATTAAAGATTTCGAGAGAGAGTTGGGCATAAATCGTGTTAATCACCAGGATAAA